CCCAACATGGACATGCACCACAGAGCACGATAGCGCACCAATCACGACGATGGGCCCACCTTATCCTGGTCGATGTTGTGCAGCTGCGGCCTGATGCTGTTCCTGGCGTACATGATGTACTTGCGCAGCAGGTGTTGAGGGATGGTTCCCTCTCCCTGAAACACGCGTCAGCCACGAACGGAGACAACCAAACAGGGACAAAAAAAAAAAAAATGAAACCATCATTCTCGCCGATGTTTTCTGCGAACGGTATGGGGGTTAATAGAAAGTTTACGCTACGTAACCTCAAACAACAATTACAAGTACCCGTTCGAGAATATACCACGGTTGCTCTCTTGCACCAGACAAATACACAGAGAGCAAAAAAACGAAACCGACTTCACTGCCGTTGACGGCGAACGGCGTGGGGGTTTCCCTCTTCAGGCTTTACTACTCTTGATAACGACATCGTCCGTGTCTGTCAAAGAGGAAAAAAATGAAACCGTTATTCTCACCGCCCGTAGGGTTTCCCTCTTGCCACGTCAGGCTTTACAACTGTACATATAAAAAACGATACGATAGCGTCCGCGCCCGTCAAAAAGCGACACAAATGAAACCGTCCATCTCACTGCACTTCTCGGCGAACGGAATGAGGTAGTGTGCGGGTTTCCCTCTTGCCAGGTCAGGCGTTACTCCTGTTGATGACATCGTCCGCAACTATCATGGATGATAGTCCGAGTGTTCCTTCGTAGCCCTCCGACTGACAAGAGCATCGCCAGAGAACTATCTGCGAACAGTACCTACCCCCAAACCCGACTACCAACGAAATAACACCCAGGGTACCCACCATTCACAATCCCAAGGTAACCAAAGGAATAGAAGATCCTCACACCGTCTCTTTTTCCCCTCGTTTATTCTCTGTACAAGAAGACGGAGAACAACAAAGCGCAAAAACAAGCAAGAGGCAGTAACGCTAGCTCCTTCACCTTGTCATTGATGATGGCCGTGTTGTCCTCCTCGTCGTCCTCATCCCCTGTCCCCTGGGTACCGCCACCAGTAGCAGAAGACGCCTGGGCAGCGGAGGGGTGGCTGCGGCGGTGACTCTCTACGACGAACATGGCGAGCTGCTCGTCCATCACCGGGTCGACCGTATCTGAGTCGAAAAATGCCAAGTAGGGGAGGGGGGGGGGTACTCATAGTCGTGCATGCTGTAGTCGTTAGACCATTGACCTCGCATCTTTTTTAAGCCGTGACGGAGCACGCCGGGTTCTCACCGGACCAGGCTCTCACA